TGATTTTAAGAACTTTTTTTCTTGACAATTTTTCGTAAAAATACATCATTTTTCAATAAAAAATTCATGAATGTTTTCACCAAAATTTTGCAGTTTAGGCGCCATTTTGAATACATTAAGGAGTAAAATCGATCTCCAAAACCACATATTATTAAAGTTTAAACGTTTATTCCACCGTTTAGTGGGGTTCTAGGTCATTGCAGACAGGAAACCCTTTGAAAATTCGATTAAAAAAAAAAAAAGTGTGAAAAAATCATGTTTTTTTTGTTTTAAACTGTTTTTTCCATAATTAACAATTTTTTGGAGAAATTTTATGGACACTATCAGAAAGGTACATCTTAAACTATAAAAATATGTACCTCTCGAATTTTTCAGACACAAATAGTATTAGTTTGAGCCCCAAAGAGCGGTGTACCGAGAGTGGCGTTTTCGTCCGAAACGGGTTAATACAAAACAAAACTTTACATTCTTCTGATTCAATTTCTGGTTAACAATTATTTCTACATTATCGTTAATATTGTAAATTGTAAAGGGTTTTTTTAATCGAACCCCATAGTTTTTTAAAAATTTATTAATAATTAATTTAAGACATGGATCGTCTCGATCGGTTCAAAAATTACGGTCTGTAGCGATTTTTGAACAATAAATTGTGATTCTTTCCCACTGTGCGCCGCACAGTGGGCAAAAAAGACTCATTTTTTGGAAAATCTACCGACAGTGCAATTTCTAACCGATTTCAAATTCTTTTGTCTAATTTACTCATGCAACATTGCTCTACAACGTAATACTGCGACATTGATGAAAAAAAGCAGAAATTCAAAATAGAGGATAGAAAATGAGTGACGAAAGTATTGAATTCCTGTCGAATGATATTTTTCTCTTATAATATTAAACATATTTACACAGAAATTGTTTTTGGGTAGCTAATATGAATTTGAGATCAAACTTAAAATTAAAAAATCAAAATAACATTTATTATAAAAATAAAAAGTGTCGTAACTTTACAAGATTTATTGAGTTTACAAAAAAAGATTATTATGCACTTGGCACATAAGTATTTAAAAATTTTTCATATCTTAATATTAAATTTGTACAAAATAGCAGAATTTTGTTATATCGCTTTATAACTGCGTAGATAATAAAACAATACTTAAGTCCTTATACCACGCCAAGATATCGGCCATGATAAGGGTACTGGCTTTCTTGTTTTTGACTTTTATTTTCTATTCTTTTCAATTTTTTAAATGATTTTGTTTCTTTATTTTTTATTTTATCAATTTTTTAAATGTTTTTGTTTATTTTAAATGTTTATGTTATATCTGTTTGAATTTTTTTCTATTTACATGTAATAGGTTAATATTTTTAAATATGTTTTAAAAGCCATTTGTGTGTGTGCGTGCGTGCGTGGTGCGTGGTGCGTGCGTGCGTTGCGTGGCGTGCGTGCGTGTGTGTGTACGTGTTCGGCGCACAAATTTGTGTTTAAAACATAAAAATATTAACCTATTACATGTAAGTAGAAAAGAATTCAAATAAATATAATATAAGCATTTAAAATAAACAAAAACATTTAAAAAATAGAGAAAAATAAAAAAATAAAAACGAAACCAAAAAAAACTAGTATCCTTATAATGGCCTATATCTTGACGTGGTATAAGGGCTTAAATATTGTTTTATTATCTACGCAATTATAAAGCAATATAACAAAATTCTGCTATTTTGTACAATTTAATATTAAAATATGAAAAATTTTTAAATAATTATGTGCGAAGTGCATAATACTCTTTTTTGTAAATCCAATAAATCTTGTAAAGTTTCGACATTTTTTACTTATATAATAAATGTTATTTTGATTTTTTAATTTTAAGTTTGATCTCAAATTCATATTTAGCTACCCAAAAAACAATTTCAGTATAAATATATTTAATATTATAAGAGAAAAGTATCATTCGACAGGAATTCAATACCTTCGTCACTCATTTTCTATCCGCCATTTTGAATTTCAGCTTTTTTTTCATTAATGCCGCAGCACTACGTTGTAGAGCAATGTTTCATGAGTAATTAAAAAAAAAAAGTTTTGAAATCGGTTGAAAATTGCACAGTCGGTAGATTTTTGTCCAAAAAATGAGTCTTTTTGCCCACTGTGCGGCGTGCGGCGAAACATAAGTGCGGCAAGATAAAACACGAATAGCGGCGCGTTGTTCTTTCCCTCGCCGTGCACCGGCAATAGTTTCTGGATCGACTGGGCGCTGTCGCCTGAGCGGCTGCGACGCTCCTCTAATCATTTATGTCGACGCGCGCCCACTCCTCAGATTATTGTCATTAAGAACTCGATAATTATTACAAATCCCGCAAAATTGTACTTTACTATTCTTTTCAGTTTAATCCAATCTACCTTCATACTTCGGGTTGGCAGCTAATTACCGGACACCATGCAGAAATCTGACGAGTGAGTGCGTGCCAAGGTAATATTGAACGAACATTGCAAATGTTCGGACCCAGACAGCGCGGCCTAGTCGAACAAGCAACTATTGCCAGCGCACGGCGAAACTAGAGTCCCTATAAGGTAGTCTGGCCAATGAGTCTAGTTTTGTAAAAACATGGCGACAGTGGTATAAATATGTGCTGTTTATGTATCGTGCAGTACGTTGTTTGGCAGCAAATTGATACTAAAAGTAAGCAATAAAGTACAATTATTCAATAATTTAAAAATAAAGCAAAATAATAATAAAAAGTATAACATTATATAAAATAAAGTGGTTAAAACAATGGTCATTGTAACCTAACATTTTAGCAGGACCTCTGAAAAAGAATCTTGTTAAATAATACTATAAAATATGAATTTGCAGATTTCAACATGCCATCCTGTTGCGTCCCAGAATGCAAAAATTATCAGAAAGGTTTTTCTATGTACTCCCTTCCCGCAGAACCTAGTAGAAGAGCAATATGGATTGCAAATATCGGCAAACAAGATTGGAATTGTGCGAAAAAATGGTTTATATGAGGTAAGTTATCTTATTTCTTATGAGAAAATACTATTTGTTATAAAATATTCCTATTAGAAACAAATAATTCTTGCTCCATTTATGTATAGGCACATTTTGCTGATGACATGTGGGAAAAACCTCGCATGGATGGGAAGCGCAAACTGAAGTACAACGCGGTGCCAACAATTTTTAATAATATACCTGCGTGCAATGTAAGTATATTTTGTCTCGCCTATTATCTTAAAGTCAAATATTTACTTGTATAAATTACTAATGAAATTTCTACTTGCAGGTAGATACACATGTTGCAAATGCCAGGGCATCTTCGAAGATAGATAATGAATGTGACTATTTTAATAACATAGAGTTAAACGTATTGTATAATGTAGCTGGATATATAGTTCATAGTATTGCTAAAGGCAAAAGTGCAATATGCACAACTTGTTTAAATTCGGCAGGTTCAACTAAATATAACGCAAATGTTAAATACGCAAACTTTGTTCATCTCAAATGTTACCGGAATAACACATTATTTTTTGTAACCCAAGATGTTTTTGAATATTTTATGGACATGGAATTTATAATTAGACAATATCTTTCTCATGTAAGCAATTCTAAATGTAATTTAATTATCTTTTTTATGGAAAAAATGAAACATATTTCTTGTGTAAGCCTGAAAAATTGTCATAAATTAAATGTGAAAATTATGAAACGCTTTATTGCATTTCGGATGAAAATTGCGTGTCTAAAAGGCCGACTGGTAAAACCAACATATAACAGTAAAACAATGGTTATGCATTCTGTTGTTACTTAATGATACAAACTGTTAATATGTTTATGTACAATGTATGTGTTTTGTTTTGTTTTGTTGAATTTTATATTGTATGAAATCGAGAAATACATATTTGTCGCAAGTATCTTATTTCCTTCAGTTTCATACTTATCCTGCTTCCCGCAACACTTTCTATTGGTGCCTCTATGTTTTTACAAACTTTGCTTCGACCAATGAAAAGTAACACGTACTTGGCCAGACTCTACCTTATAGGGACTCTAGGCGAGACATAGGAGCAGCAAGATAAGACAAGAATAGTGGCACGTCCTTCCTCTTATCACACGTCGGTAACAATCGACTGGGTCGCGTTTAGAGAGGCCAACCAGCTAAAATCCAATACCGTTTCGGCACGTGCTCATGCATCAGATTTCTACAGGGTTTGTTATAAAATAGATGCGGCATGTTATTGCTCCATGATAATGCTAGACCGCATATTGCAAAAAAAACTGTAAAAGCATTAACAGAATACAAATGCGAAGTTCTCCCTCATCCTCCTTATTCTCCTGACCTTCCTCCAACTGATTACTATTTGTTTAAGCATCTGGATAACTTTTTAAGTGAAAAGGTATTCCAAACAGAAAGCGACGTGAAAAATGCGTTCAACGAATTTCTTGTACCTCGCTCTTTTAATTTCTACGTGAAAGGCATTGATGCGCTTGTATCACGTTGGGGGAAATGTATTGAGGTGGAGAGAGACTATTTCGATTAACGAGATGTATATAAAGTGTCGAATAAAGATTTAAATTAAGAATTAAAAAATGGCCATTTCATCTGCAACAACCTAATAAATACTGTGGGAGTGACGAACCATGGGGTCCTTATCTCTGCTGACACGCACACGCACACACGCACACGCACACACACACGCACGCTCGCACGCACGCACGCACGCACGCACGCACGCACGCACTCAATCACGCACGCACGCACGCACACACACACACACACACATACATACACACACACACACACAGGGGTGTAAAGTTCGACCATGCAACCTCCACGCGGTACATCCTGGATAATACTAATGTTGGCGGCATCGTAAATTCTAAAGCTCATAACAGACAATTCTCAACAGAAATAGATCATCAAGTAGTGTTTTGGAAACGTCTCGCTATCATCTTTAACACTGTGTGATAAAAAATGGAGTATTCCGTTTAAAAAAATTATGTTGACTTTGATCTCGCCTTGACCCTTCCATTCAAGGTCAAACGAATGTGATCATTCAATACAACTTTTAAAACCCTATAACTGTGGTTGAAAACATTTTTCTCAGAAACGTGTTGTTTTCGATATATTTGACCGTTTCCAGACTTTTCTAACACCCTGTATAATTTTTTTGTATTTGTTATTAAATAGAACTACACATGAATTTGTAGTTGTAATTAAATTCAATGTGTGTGATACATGTTTGTATTGTGTTGGCAAAGAAAATTCTTCTAAATGGTCGTCAATATTTCTTAGAAGTACAAATACAGATATAACAATTTCGTCGTTTTGAAAATATTCTGGCTTTTCTTCAATTTCGTCGTTATCAAATGAAAATATACGAAATGCTTTTCCAAAATTTAAGACATCATCCGTGACTGTTCCTACAATTTCATGAACAGATAATTCAAATTGTTGATGAACATTATTTAGCATTTTTGCTATTTCAATGTGCGTGTGGGCAAATTTCATACGGCGACATGCCAGAACACACGAATTGTATCTTTTACTTGAGGATCTCTGCATAGGCAAATAAAAAAGAAACATATTTTTTTTTCCATTATAGACAAAATATGTGAATACGTGAATACAAAAATACGTGAAAATGTATCTGAAAATATATCTGAAAAACCATTAAGATATTATGTTTTATATCTACGTAGGTACAGATATAGATAGTCCAATTCGAATGTATCTTACAAGGGGAGGACGTATCAACCGGGAAACGGTTTGGAACGAAACTTACGGAGCTAATAGTACTTGACTACTAATAACTTATGGTAATAGCATACGACGCAAGACTTCTTCGTTTTCGAGAAAAAACGGTCTAAAGAAAAGAGCCAACAGTGTACGAGTTAGTAAGAAAGGTATACAATGAAACGGCGTAGAGCAGCAGCGAAAATAACGGACTACCGAGCTGACGGCTGAGGTTCGATCCCTGCTATATGGTTCCTTTTTTATTCTATAAGCATAAAAATGAAACAGAAAACATTAATAAGTAATAAAACTGCGTTCCTTAAATATATTAGTGTTTGTTAAATATATTATTAATGATTTAAATTGCAAAAAGACAGTAAATCTTATTTATAAAATATATAGCGTATGAGAAAATTTTTATATAATAATTGCAATAGAAATAGGAGTAAAAATATATATTTTCGCTAGAGGATTTTTCGATAATAATTCATTATTCTCGTAAATAAAATTCGCATATACGAGAGCATTAGTGAATTTACCTTTAAAATCTTCATTTTCAAAAGATCTTTCTTCTAGCGATTCTACATCAACTATTTTGCTTGTTGAAGGATTCTCTGACATTGTTATGATATATGTAATTTAAATATGATCACCGAACTGGTCTGTATCACTAGTAAACGTACACTGCTGCTTGCTCTACTGACGACTGTTCCGATGCTCGAATTATTTCGTCATTCTTACCCATCGTTTAGAATGATACAAAGGAAGTTTTTGGAGGAGGATTGCCAGAAGAGATAAAGACACAACACAACTTCAACACAACACAACTTCAACACAACATAGAGAGTTGTAACAGAAACAAATATTTTATATATACGATATAAGATTACGAAAAATTATCTCATACTATTGTTTAACCCTTTGCGACCGGCTGATTTCAAAGAGATCGATAAACATGGATATCTATAAGTTGATCTAAACATTTTAATCTAGCATCGGGAGGATAGTTTTCTTTCATTATCGCTAACCTCGTTTGCCGTGCCGCACGTCAGGCGATCATGAATGCCAGCCTGGCGGTACCGACTTCTACGACGACTTACGAATGCCGCCACTGTGGCGGCATCGACCGCAAAGAGTTAATAGCATTTCTATATATTTAATAACAATATTTTTATTCCCATTTCCATTGCAATTATTATATAAAAATTTTCTCATACACTATATAATTTATACATAAGATTTACGGTTTTTTTGCAATTTAAATCATTAATAATATATTTAACAAACACTAATATATTTAAGAAACGCAGTTTTATTACTTATTAATGTTTTCTGTTTCATTTTTATGCTTACAGAATAAAAAAACCATACAGCAGGGATCGAACCTCAGCCGTCAGCTCGGTAGTCCGTCACAGAAGGTCGAAGCCACCAAGGCCGAAGCCCCCTCTGGGGAGACCGAGGCGGTCCAGCCGCCAGAGATCTCCCAAGAGGGGGTGAAGGTAGACAGCCCGGAGGAGGCGTATAAGGCCTAGCCTTCACGCCACTCCGGTTGCTACAGGCGAACCTCGGCCACGGCGCCCGGGCTCAGGGCCTGTGGGTACACAGGATCCGGGAACTGGGCGCCGGGCTGGGGGTGGCCACCGAGCCGAATTGGGTGCCGATCAGCAGTGAATACTGGTTCGGCAGCCCGGACGGCTCGGTGGCCATAGTGGCTGACCCTGCAGCGGGGACCCCTCCCTGTGTTTTAAGGGAAAAGGGATCCTCGTACGTGGCGGTTGACTGGGGGCCTATAACTGTGGTGGGGGTATATCTCCCCCACCACAGAAACAAAGCCGGACTTGGCCCCGCCCGCATCAAAGGGATCCTAGACAGGATCGGGGATTTGGTACGCAAGTGCCATCCCCGACCTGTCGTGATTGCCGCGGATTTTAACGCTCACTCTGAGGAGTGGGGTTGCAGTCCCCGGCAGCGGGATCCCAGAGGCGAGGTGGTCATCGGCTGGGCGACGGGTCTTATGTTGTTAAACAGAAGGTCCACCGACACCTGCATAAGGCCGGGAGGGGGGTCATCGGTCATTGATTTGACTTGGGCCTTCCTCTCGGCCGTAAGGTTGATCTCCAAATGGAGGGTGGAGGCTCAGGGTGAAACGTTATCTGACCCTATGGTCAAATAACTGTTCTTGGGCGTCCCCGCAGACGGAGACGTTGAACCCCCAGGCCCTCGAGGGGCTCCTGGACGCCCTCTTTCCGAGGGCGGAAGGGGGTCCCCGTGATTCCTCCCCCAGAAATGGAGGAGGAGCGTCCACCTGCACGCTCCGACTACTAACACTAATTAATACGGGGGGGGCAAAGCGGCGCTCCCCCCCTCCATAATACTCGTGCGAGGTACTGTTCGCTTCCCCCCCCCCGCCCCCTGCGTAAGGGCCGAAGGTTCGGCCTGGGACGGGCGCCTTTCCGGCTGCACGTCACAATATATATATATATATATATATATATATATATACATATACAGTGGCGTGCAAAACTTTTGAGCCACACAATTATTATTATATATTCATTTCATAATAAGCGCTAAAATCTTTATACATATATATAAACAAAATGTATTTATTTGCCCTACAATTATATAAACTTTACAAACTTTTAATAATTCTAAATACTTTATCTTTACACAATGATTTATTACAAACAGTGCAAAAGTATTGCGCCAAAAAATTTTCTTATTCATAAGAAAAATATATTATTGAAAAATAATAACAGAAAATGTTGTCAACGTTTTTTTAAACTTAATACTTTGTTGCCATGCTTTTAGAAACAATCACTGCAGCACAACAGCGAGGCATTGATTGATATTAAATTAGAAATGCGATCTTGAGGTAAATTTTGCCATTGAGTTTGCAGATCTTGCCACAATTCAGCTTTATTGGAGTGTTTCTTATTTCCTGTACATAGTTTCAGTTCTTGCCACAAATGCTCAATAGGAATTCAAGTCCGACGACCGCGAGGGCCAGTCAAGAACTCGCATTTTTTTCGCGATGAAGAATTCTTTTATCAGTTTTGATGAATGTTTGGGATCGTAATCTTGTTGGAAAATCCAACCACGTGGCATGTTTCGAGTTGCATATGGCAGCATATGCTATGTCAATATGATACATTATAGCGTTCATAGTACCTGTGATCTCAACCAATGGACCAACTCCATTATAAGAAAATGATCCCTAAACCACCACATTACCTCCACTATGTTTTATGGTAGGAATTTGGTATCTTGAGTTATATCTTGTGCCTATTGGACGTCGCATATATTTTCTACCGTCATTTCCGAATAACTGAAACTTTGACTCGTTAGAGAAAAGTATTTTTCGCCAATCAACTTCAGTCCAATGTTCAAATGTCCTTACAAAATCTAATCGAGCTTTCTTATTGTTTGCACTAATTAATAGTTTTTTTTACATCAGCACGTCTTAAAATTCCTACTTCCTTTAGACGTCGAGATATTGTACTTCGACTAATATCGACTAATATCGACAAATATCAAGATTTTCTTCTCGTAGTTTTCGAGAAATATCCATGGCAGTTTTTCTAACATCAGCTATCGACTTTCTTTTAATCATTTTGTCGACGTACTTTGTAGTTTTGCGAGGTCTACCGTTTCGTGATTTATCAGCTAGAGAGTTCGTTAACTTATATTTAGCATTAATCCTATTTACAATACTTTTATCAATTAATAAGCAATTAGCAATTTCGCGAGAAACCTTTCCTTGTTGAGAAAGATTAATCACGGCTTCGCGTAACTGAAGTGACTTGTATGTTTCGACATTGCGGTAGACAATAGACTGAACTTAGTGAAAGCAAATATTTACGAAGGAGTTTCATAAGAAACGTAAACAAATCGGGCTTATAAAGTCATAACAAGAATGTGGCTCAATACTTTTGAACACATGTAAATATTATATGACTAAATAATTAGAAACTATGTAATTTCAAAATTTTGTAACTGTACCATTATTTGTAAGAATGTTATGTCAACTATTTTATATAATTAATTTTTAGAGCAACTCAATATACGAGGGTGGTCCGATAAGTACTTAGCCTACAAAAGAAAAACGAAAATTTTGGAAAAGTGGCGATTTATTTCTCAACATAGTCTCCTTTTAGCTCGATACACTTGATCCAGCGATGCTCCAACTTCTTTAATCCGTCTGAAAAATACGTTTTCTCGAGGTCTGCAAAGTAGGTCTCCGTGGCAGCGATGACCTCCTCATGACTCAAATTTCTGCCCGGCGAGTGACTTTTCAAGTTTGGAAACAAAAAGAAGTCGCACGGGGCCAAATCTGAAGAATACGGTGGATGGGGCAGCAGTTCGTAGCCCAATTCGACCAATTTGACCGTGGCGAGGGCGGAGGTGTGAGCCGGTGCGTTGTCATGGTGGAAGAGCACTTTTTTCTTCGCCAAATGGGGCCGTTTTTTCAGCAATTCGGCGTCGAATCGGCCCAATAATTCGGCATAGTACAGCCTTGTGACCGTTTTGCCCTTCTCCAGGTAGTCGATGTAGATCACACCTTGTAAATCCCAGAAAACGGTGGCCATCACCTTTCCGGCTGATAGGACAGTCTTCGCCTTCTTCGGAGCACGTTCGCCGGGTGAAGTCCACTGTTTCGACTGTTCCTTGGTCTCTGGTGTGTACCAGTGGATCCATGTTTCGTCGACGGTCACGAAACGACGCAGAAACTCCTTCGGATTGCGCTTAAACAGCGTCAAACACTGCTCTGAAGTGGTCTCACGGTTGCGCTTGTTGTCCGGAGTGAGCAAACGCGGCACCCATCGCGCCGACAGCTTTCTCATGAAATGTCCAAAATTTCATGCAGGATATGACCCACGCGGTCTTTTGAGATGCCTACTGTCTCAGCTATCTCGCGCACCTTCAATCGGCGGTCTGCCAATACGAGATCGTGGATTTTTGTCATGTTATCCTCCGTGGTAGCCGTTTTCGGGGCACCTGGGCGTGGCTCATCAAAAACCGACGTGCGACCACGTTGAAACTCGTTAAACCAACTTTTGACGGTCGCCATCGAAGGAGAAGAGTCACCGTACACAGCATCCAAGCGTTCTTTGATTTCGCTGCGCGATTTCCCTTCCAAAAACAAGAATCGAATCACCGACCGATATTGTTCTTTTCCCATTTTTCTAAAATCCGCGGACACACCCGCTTCCACACGCGGTCAAAACAAAACTACGAGTCCGATTCGGCTGAAATTTCGACAGTAGCCGTCTACGAGAATGTACTACACGATAGTAAATTTCTCTTGCGATAGTGGCGCCATCGGGCGGTAAGGCTAAGTATTTATCGGACCGCCCTCGTATTGTCATGTATCTTAAAAAGACACTATGGCTTGAAACTTTTGCACGCCACTGTATATATATATATATATTGGGTGAGTGCAAAAGTTCGTGCGGAGTTTCAATAGATGGAGTTATAAGCGTCGTAAAGTGTTGTCATTAATACTTCCATCTACATATTATATAACGTTGGAAAGGTGACGTCTTCAGCTGTTATTAAAAAAAAAATCATTTGTTTTCATACAAACTGCTTCGAGAAATATCACTTTAAAAATGAGTATCGATAAGGTGCATTTACGGCATGTTATGCTTTACGAGTTTCGGAAGGGAATATATTGCTAAATTGTATAAGTAGATAGGCCGACTTTTTGCACGACTAAAATTAAGGCACATGAGCCAGTTTTACTTTTTCGATTCCGATATATTATCTAAATATGATTTCCGACTCGCTCATTGTCGTCACACAGAAACGGGTTGTGACTGTCAACGACGCATTTACATGCATATATTCCGCCCTATCCTCGCGTTGCATATGCCATGTGTTAACACACGAACAATCGGGTGTACACGAAATTTACGCGCGTGCGCTTAATGCGCTTGAGTGAGAGGAAACTAGCGTGAAAAGCTGTTTGCCGAGCCCCATTGTTGGAGACACGGAACCACACGCGTATTAAATATTTCGTATGCACACAATATCACGGGTGTAATTCGCATTAATTAGAAACATACGAGTAGACGCTGTATTCAGACAACTGTGAATTTCCAATATCCATACAACCGTTGTGCTTTTTATGTTTGCAACTAAATATTCGATCATTGATTGTTGAGTGACCGTAAATTACTTGAACGATTTGAAAATTATGTATGTAAAAAGAAGAGGATAAAGTTTGTTGAAAAGCATCTTCGGTCGCAAATGTGCAATCGTGAAATGCGTTCTGAATCTAATGCTTTTTTCTTGTTTTTTAGGAATCAAGCAAACTGTCGTTTGAGAACATGTCTGATTGCTTGGTGTTTATAGGACAGTATACATATAATCGATTTCTCGTAGAAAGAAATTTTTCAGAAAATGAATTGGATGCAGACAAGGAAGCTGTAACAGATGCAGATTTAAAATAAAATTTAAATCTGAGTTCACATCTGTATGAACAATAGCATAACGATTTTGTAAAAATTACTACAGAACATAACATACATCGATGTTTTGCGATTGATATAATCGAGTTAAGTGATATGCAAATATCAAAAACATATCACTCTAATATATATATTTGTGCCTATCAATATTTAATAATAGAGATACTGGAGGAGGTTTATTGGTAATAAAATGTATTCTCTCTATGTATGTTCTCTACTACGCAAAAATAAATATAAAAATAAATTTCGCAATCAGATTTCGTACCAAATGTACAGAAACTTTATATATATCCTGCGAGAATGAAGATTTTATTTTTAGCAATATGCTTCGAGAGTCAATTGAGCGTTATAATTGAACAATTACAGAGACAATACTTCTCGAAGTTCTAATACTCGATGAGTCCTGACCGCGATAATAACTCAAGAAACATTTTGTAGGAAGTAAAATCCCAAAGACGAAAGCCCTTGTACGATCTGTGATTTATTAATTTTGTTATTTATTTATTTATTTTTATATAATATAATTACTTGATAGTCAGATAGTCATAGTTTTATGTCTCTTGCATTTATTATCATTACAAAGGTTGTCACATTGTTTCATGACAATATTATTCTTCAAGATAAAAAATTGAATGAAACGCGATGAATGGATTTCAACGAATTGAATAAAAATGGAAATTTTTCGCGATCGAAACAATAATTGGAATAATTTGCGGTAAGACAAGCAGTTACTAAAAACCTATTGAAATTTTTTAATATAACAAATTTTGATGTGACAATTAAGCAATTAAAAATATTGTAAGAGTTTGATGCAATAATTACACAGGACAACAATAAAAAAAGTATTTTGTTCCGAAAGGAAGACCAACTGTTTCCTACATATTTTGACGTGTTGAAACAGAATCCGTTCCCAAAAAATTCATATCACGTCACATTTATGAGATGTACGTAGTAAGAAGGTCCAAATTCATTTAATTCACGCTGAAATAACGCAGAATATAAATTCCTATCTATGATTGCGGTAGAATCACAATTATAAACTCTAAACTAACTAAACCAAATTCCTTGAATTTTCAATTCATAAAGTCCAAACCTATACTCTCCAAACATATATACCGTTAAAGACAAGATCTCGAAATAATTCGGCTAATAAAGGCAAAATCTGAAATTAACCCAACTAGTGAAGGCAAGATACAAATAAACTATAAAAATTTATCTATTATATCTATTATATCTATAAAATTATAAAAGGATTGTCGAAACCATGTTATCGAACTATAACAAATTAAGATGTTTTTGAATTTAAAATTGCATTTTCTTTATTCTTATCTCGACTACTTTCCCGAAAATTTAGGATACTATGGTGAAGAACAGAGCGAGCGATATTTCACCAAGAGCTGAAGAAAATTGAGAAAAGATACTAAAGTAGTTGGGACGAAAATATGATAGCGGATTACTGAAAAGAGTAATTTTGTTGGTTACTGAAAAGAGACACAAAAAAGAAAGTGACACATAAACGATCCGAAGGTCACTTGAAGAAAAAAAGTACGATCGAACAAAGAAAGTAAAAAAACGGAGATTAGTGAGGTTGTTGGTTTATCTGTGTTAATAAATATCATTATCATAAAAACCATGTTAATAATTACCATTTTCTAACATTTTTATTTGAACTACACGTCGAAATTGGATACTTAAATATATTAGATGTAGTAAAAAGAAATCCATTATTTTTCCAATAGATGGCTTTAGTTATCTGTATCTCGCGTTGTATAAGTCCGATCGGGTTCCACTAGATGGCGTTAGAAAGATGAGATTTCGTATTAAAAAAACTTTTGTGACAGTTTTGTGATTAGTTGACTCAGTTTTGTTCGAGCGCGCGTCAAAGATGGACACTAGCAAAGAAAAAATACGCTATATTTTACAGTTTTTCTTCGATAAAGACGAAAACGCAAGCCAGGCGGCTGAAAATGTGAATAGTGTTTATGGTCCTGATATTGTAACAGCCAATCACGCGCAATTTTGGTTTCGTCGATTCCGTTCCGGTAATTTCGATGTCAAAGATGCACCACGCACTGGAAGACCAATTGTCGAAAATATCGATAAAATCATGGACATTGTCGAGTCCGACCGTCATGTAAGCACTGTTTCGATTACCCAAGAGCTAAAGATTGCACAAAAAACCGTCTGGAACCATTTGAATAAGGCTGGATACAAAAAGAAGCTCGATGTATGGGTGCCACACGAGTTAACGCAAAAAAACCTCATGGACCGAATTGCCATCTGCGAATCGCTGCTGAATCGCAACAAAATCGACCCATTTCTGAAGCGGTTGGTCACTGGTGATGAAAAGTGGATCACTTACGACAACGTCAAGCGAAAACGGTGGTGGTCGAATCGCGGTGAGCCGGCGGAAACGGTGACCAAGCCAGGATTGACGACCAGGAAGGTTTTGCTGTGTGTTTGGTGGGATTGGCAGGGAATTATCTACTATGAGCTGCTCCCCTACGGCAAAACTCTTAACTCGGAACTGTACTGTCAACAATTGGACCGTCTGAAGGAAGCAATCACCCAGAAGCGGCCAGCTTTGGCCAATAGGAGAGGAATTGTGTTCCGTCAGGACAACGCCAGGCCACATATATCGATAGTGACTCGCCAGAAGCTCCGGGAGCTTGGTTGGGAGGTTCTTATGCATCCACCTTATAGTCCGGACCTGGCACCAAGTGATTACCATCTGTTCCTGTCCATGGCGAACAATTTTGCTGGTGAAAAATTCTCTTCAAGAGAGGCTTGTGAAAATCGACTGTCTCAATTTTTTACCAATAGAGACGAGGGCTTCAATGAGAGAGGCATAATGAAATTACCTTCAAAATGGCAACAAGTTATCGAATAAAACGGCGCATATTTGACCTAAATCGGATCATTCTAACTATGGTAATTAAAGCCTTCAATTTCATGCAAAAATAATGGATTTCTTTTTACTACACCTGATATAACGAAAACGTCTGTTTACCAGATATATCTCCTTATATTTTTATAGCGTAACGTCTTACGAAGTATCTATTATTTCTAATAACCTACTTAAGTTATTCAGAATGATTAAGTTATTCAGAACCTTGAAAATATATGTTAAGATTAAATTATCTTTCTCATTGAAACATTGGATTTATTAATCCAAATAATGCTCGATGCTTCAATATTCTTATATATTAAATTTATTATGTTTATTTCTTATATTAAATTATTGATTTATTTATTTCTTATACTAAATTGTTAATAAATTTTCAATTTACATTATATTATAGTTCATTTCAACTGACAAAAAAATTGTATCTTATTTTTTCTTATAATTAAGAACGACTTAATTAATATTATGAATGATTTATTATTTATTATTGCATATACAATGAGATTAGAAGATAGCTTGCTCCGTCACACTGAAAAATAAAATAATCAATTATTTTACAAAGATTCCGTAAAATATTTAAATTTTATAGATTAATTAATGAATAATTTTATGCATAATTCCATGGAAATTTTGTTTTAAATTTTGAATTTACGGAGCGTATTAAATGTACGGATAATTAAAATTTTAAGATACATAAAAAAGTGAAATTTAATTGATATTGTATTGTATTTTGATTATTTTTTCTTAAAGACAGCAACAACAGGAATATTCAAGGTTAAAGACATATTCAGACACTATGCTTTTACTATTCAAAACATAAAAAAACTGTAACATTATCTCAAAAAAAAGAAAACAAAACGAGGAAGACAAACGAATTGTAAACCTCTGTAAGCGATTCGCGATTCCAATAATCTTCGATCATTATCTTCGCTGATCATTATCACGAAGGAATTTTTTAAAAATCGCGAACATCACAAATCGTCTCGTTCTAAGCGCCAACACTGTTTTAAATCGCGTAGAATAATTACGCGAATAACCGTCCGCTCACGTCCGCCGTTAGCAAAGAGAAGAGCTTACTTCGGTTACGATTTCTATCGTTGCGAGTCGTTGCTTTGGAGCGGCGCAATGCAACTATAAAGTTAATTCATGCTTAACAAGCACGTCGCAGCGTGCTTGCCGATGTTCGACTTGAACAGCGAATACGGGTGCCCAGTGGCGTCACTAATTAATCGCGAACGTATCAAAATATCGTGAGCCGCCGTCGAATGTAGTTTGCGTGCCTCGAGCCACCTGCCGTGACGAGACGGCGTCTGTCAACAGCGGGGCAACTTCAAGGGTTTCGGCAAGTCGAAGAGGAAGGAGGCTCCGAGGGAGGGAGGTGGATGCCGGTTACAGAGCCAGGCGCGCGCTTAAATATTAACAGTGTACTCAGCGGATACATTAGTAACGCCGGAACGACTTGTACACATGCTAGGAAATCTCTTGGTTTTACTTACTGTTAAAATGGGCGAATCCGGAGAACCGGTTGCGGTCGCAGAGAAAGCGAACGTCAAAGAGACGTCGATTAACGTCGTTAATGAACGCGAAAACCACTCTCCACGTAGCGTTGAAAACTAGGCGAATAATCGTATCTTCCCTCTGTAGAATTACGCGTTAAATTTGTATATAGCACACTTTATTAAGATAATATGAATACACAAAAAACATATTGGATTGGCCAATAAGTCTGTGCGGTTTTTCTCGATAGATGGCTTCAAGGCGCTCTGCTAAGCTTTATCTTCAATCGAAAATCTTGAAAGCGTATAGTCATTGACAGATGACATTTCAACGTGTATTTAAAAAATATACGTAAATATTGCTTGTGTATCTTGTGTGTTTTACGTCATCTGAAAATGGATAACTAGAACAAGCATTTTCGGCATATTATGCTTTTTTATTTTAAAAAAGGCAAAAACGCGACGCAAATCTGTAAAAAGATTTGTGCAATATACGGTAAGGATGCCATAAAAGAACGCGTGTGTGAAAAGTGGTTTGCGAGATTTCATTGCGGAGATTTTTCCGTCAAAGACAAACTACG